TGTCTTTATATATTTTTCCCTCTTTGTTGTGTTTTAATTTGTTGGTATGTTAATTTTTCAAAAAAATTGTTGTGATGATTTGTTTTTCTTTTTTTGTGTTTATACAGCGTAATGTCATTTAATTTGATGCTGTTCCTACCTTTTTAAAAATATAAATGTGTTATGTTAGAGCATGTCTCCACCAAAACCGAATACTGACACTGGCACGCCCTAATAGTGTGATTCCTTAATTTACATGTAATATCCTGTACTTTTTCTTGAATTACACACGTTTAGGGTTAAAACAACCAATCTTCGGATTTTGTTAATTTTTGTGGTTATTTATCCGTGCTGTTCTAAATTTGATTTCATTCTGTTGTGAAACCTTTATTTTTCACGTTTTTACACTCTGGGGGACTACAAATAATTTGGATGCTTAAAACGAAGAGCAAAAGAAATTCTGGTGCTTTAGATTGTTACCTCTCTCAACATATTGCTATATACGTTGTCACAGAGAGTTGAAAGCTTGAAAATTAATGGCAACTTTTGAGCAAAAAAATGGCAACAAATGCAGATTCTAGAAATGGGGAATCAGGCTTACTCTGCTCATCTCTCTAGCCTCAACAGCGCGAAGTCTGCATCGACTATTGAGGCACACTGCAAATAGCAGATCAATGAGTGAGAAACATGCAAAGGAGGGAGGGAAAGAGAGAGAGATTAAAGAGATAGAGGGAGAGAGCATACGAACGGGCTGATAATTTCATCCAGTCCGTTAAAAAATCCAAAAAACATGCCCTTATGTTGCTTCCCGGGGACTCACATCGTACGTGGGTGCGAGTGGTTATAATATTGTAGTACCAACTCGGTCTGTCCAGATAGCACAGTCAAAGGGTCACGGCAGGGTCACTAGGGACTAGAGACGGTAACAAGCAATTCCCTAGTATACCAGATAAAAAAAGGTGCGGCTTATATGAAAATTAAATCACTCTTCTGGGTAGTCCGGGGCACAAAGTTACCCGCCCGATTCTAGTCCTAGTCTCTTGTCCTTGTCTCTTGCTATTTACTTATTGAAGTGACTCTTCAGATTCGAGTCCGAATAGACAAAAATTATATTCGGACTCTATATTGAGTCCAGCATGACGTCCGTTCCGACTTCCGATCCTTGTTCCTAAATATTTTCAGCATTTATGAAAAAATTTTTGATTATAATTATACCAATCGAGACGTGAGCTTTAATATCCAGTTACTAGATCTATACTATCTAAACTGGCCCTCCCTACGTCATTAGTATTATGAACAGAACAACCAAGTTCAGTTGACCTTGCTGGGGGGCAAAGTTAATTATGTCGACCTATGAGATTGCGCTTAGCGATCATGTACTCTCGGCTTGCTGTGGTAAGAGGTGCTGGGAAGAGCCCTCGGCTGTCGGTTTTTTGCAATGTGATTTTTAAGACAATTAATTACAGAAAAACTATAACACTCAACAAAATGAAATAAAGCGTGTACAAATGGTGGTGGAAGTAATAATGATGCTGTAGTGGTTGTGGAAAGACCCTGAGTTGTCGGTTACCGTGTATTTAGACACTGCCATTGGGCAATAAGAGTGTAGTCTTTTGACTTTTGACACAATTACACAATCCTAGTAGGTAATTCTAGTTCTAATTCTGGCTTTACGTAAAATCCTCCGACGACAGTTATATTATGTAACCTCTTTACACTCACATAACTCACTTTGAAGCTGAGTCCGAATAAATAAAACATTTTTTCGGACCCGAGTCCAAATAGATAAAATCCATATTCGGACTCGAGTCGGAATAGAGTTGGCCCCTAAGGCCTTTACTTACTAGATCTATGCAGGCTGTTACTCAACTTTTCGTAAGCTACAACAGGTACACTACTAGATTTTCTAGAGTTTAATTTATGTGGGCAGAGTCAGCGTTGTAATGACAGAGTGACAGTCTTCCATCCAGCTTGGAACATTTTATTTTCATTTGTCTTGTTGGCTAGTGTTTGATTCAGTCCACAAATGTTAGGGCTGACCTGAACCCTGATGAATTCAGACTTTAAAAAAAGGAAGTGGCTATTCTCACCAGGGGTGAGACACCCCTCAGGTGTGCTATAGTAGGCCTATAGCACAGACACACACAGGACAGCACAGAGAATAACTTATTTATAAGTTGTAGAAGTTTCAGTTTAGTTTATAAAGTTTAATGGGCTGGGTGAAGGCCATTTCACACCATGAACAGCAAACAATAGTGAAAAAAAAAAAAGACTTGCCATTCCAGTATGGTTATGCAAGAACTAAATGTCAAGAGCAAAACGCATCTGATACCTACTGGTCCTCTCAATTATTAAATATAGCCTAATTTTAAGAAGGCTATTTGATTTTAAAAAATTTAATAGAGACCGGTTAGCCACCTAGGGCCTAGGTGATTTTATCGGCCGGGGGGGGGGGCGGCTTCGCTTCATGCCCACACCAGGGTGGGGGTGAGAATAACGGGTCATGAGCTATTCTCACCTGGGGTGGCCTAAAACAGTAATACGTCAAGGGGTTAGGAGTGTGTGTATGGTTGTCGTAACTCAATAACTGAAACTACTAGACTACTAGATCTACCAATACAAATTTGGTATTACACGAACTTACATTCTCACGATTTAACTTTTAAAAGTCCCAGAGTCTAGAACAAAAGATTTGCTCCAACTCAAGAGCTGAAAGACTAAATATAAATAAATAATGTGTCTGGTCTAGATTCTAGTCACTGGTCTGATCTGATCTAGATTGTTTTTTAACTTTTGATGTGCATGTTGCATCATAGAGTTTGTCCTGGTGGAATGGATTGCAATCCAAACAGTTTCTTGAGACAGGCTTTCAGCTTTCTCTGCTCTTCCTCTGGTCCAGAACTTCTCTAAAATAATTTGTTAATGTTTCTTTTCTGTTCTGTATCTATATTCTTTTCATGGGAAGGGATGGTTTGTGGTAGCTCTGGTGTTATTTGCTCCTTCTTTCCGGGTACCAGTCATTTCGTCACACCGGTGCAGTCAAGACGTTGCAGTCATCTCATCACACTCCAAGTCCACAAAGTTAAATGGAGACGGTCTTTTCGTCACTCACTTGCAAACATGAAATGCGCATTGTCATGGCTATCGCAAATCACAATCTTTGGGGGAGGGTTAGGTGGTGTGTGGAGGGGGGGGGGGGGATGCGAGTCGTCGTGCCTACCTGATCAGCTGCACCATTCATAATTGGGTGTTTTGTTGAGTTCTTTTTATTGGGGGGGGGAGGGGGGGGGGTTAAATGATACTAAAACAGAACAAAGGAGGAGTTGTCATTTTATTAGTACACTGGCTTCATCATGAAGCGCAATTCCACCAAAATTTATATTTTAAATTAAGTTTCATACACTGTTGCTTTGGTCAATTTGCAGTTAAGCATGCTTTATGCTAAAAACCATGTACTGTGGGTTAACTTTGGTGTCGACTCTTGCCATTCATTAATTTAATCAGAAGGCCTGTTTTGCCTTTGACACATTAGATTAAAGAATTTTCAAGTTGAAGACACCAGTTTCACAGAGCATTATAATCGAATATGTGGTTGAAATATATACTGTCAAACCTGACATGACGGCCACCGCTATAAAATGTAGACAAACGGACGTTTTCCATTTCCCCCCTTGAGTTTTTTTCTATTTATGTACAGCGGTCACCTGTCCAACGTGGCCGCGGCCACCATATTTTAACTCACAACCCCTGTCACACCGAACAATAACATGTCTTAAGGACTGACTGTAAGTCAAAGCTGTGTAAAACGGCCGCCCATTGTCATGGAGAAAAGTGGCCGTATAACACAGGTGGCCGTCTTAAGCAGGACTGATCAAAATGAAGAAAGCAAACCATTCTCTTCCGAGGTCCAAACCGGGGCTGATCTCAGGATTAGGACTGCCGTAAGGCTAAGTCTAAAGGGTTTTTGTTTTCTTTTGAAAAGGGAGGTGGGTGGTGTAAGAAGGGTTTTTTTGTGTTGTTTTTTGGTAAGCTCTCTTTTTGTTGCTGATTTTGTGCAAGGGTAAAATAAACGAAATATAATGTAAGAAAGACTATGAAGACAGAGTGCCTTGGTAAAACAAACACACAGGTCACCACCACTTGTAGAAAGAGTGGCGCTTCTGTCGCAAGTTCACATCAGCGTCCATTTTTTGTTACAGATTAGATAAACAAAACAGTGACCAGTCACCTCACACACAATTTGTGCATGAGTTGTGGGCAGTGCTTATAGGTTATGCAGATCACACTGCCCTCACCAGCAGTTGAAAATTTATTGTTAGGCTTACCCATTGGTCAACTTGGGTAAACAATACATCCACTGGAGGGATTACGAATGACAAGTGAATGATTTTATAACAGCCCATCCACAGGATGAGGGGCCGATTCAAAATTTATGACAAAGCATCAGGCAGTGAGTGACCATGCTAGGTAAATTTGACACTGGGTTGATAAAATAAGGTGGCCGCGACCATGTTGGACAGGTGACCGTTTTACACAGTGAAGAGAAAAAACACAAGGAGGAGAATGGAAAGTGGCCATTTGTACAGGTGGCCATCATGTCAGGTTCGACTGCATATATTTCTGATTTCGCATCCCCAAGTTGAACAGTACTGTTATTAGTTTTGACCATAGCATTCTTTGGCAAGCAAGCTCTTTTGTAACATGTGTCTTTGGCCTGGTTTCTTCATATTCGTTTTGGTGGTTGGCGGGTGCTTTGGTGCAGTTTGTTCCTTCTTTCCTGTCAAACATCTATTGTTCTATCTTGCCTCTTCCTTTTCTTTAAATATGTTGTGCTCTTGTAACACCTTTAATCTTTATGGCACGTGATATATATGTATATATGACCCCCCCAAACTGCAGTCTGACTTTTTAAGTCTCATTCTCATTTAAATATCTCTGCTGTCTTTATCATGTAAACTTTTGTTGGTCTGAGATAATTTGAACTCTCATTTGAAGATCGTTTTCTTTCAATTTGTCCCCAGGTGCACAGAAACAGTTCCTCTCCAGTACTGCTTGCCAAAGTATTCTTTATTCATAAGTATCTGAACAGTTCCTTTTGAAAAAGGTTTGAGGAATGAGCATTTAACTCATGCCACTTAGGACCTTAGTTTTGTAAACTCGTTGAAAGTGCAAAGGTTTGCAGTTTTGCTTCAAAATGAACTGGATCAGAGTGTTGCCCCATTGTAAAGTACTTTATTTGTTCATTGGGCTATTTGCCGTTTTGCTACCGGTTTCCATTGACTTGGGAATCGGAGGAACATTTTGTAGTGCAGCTAAAATTGAAAATGCAAAGAATAAGTTTGATTCCGGGGTAGTGCTGAGAGCTGTGGCTGCCTCGAGCAGTGGCACAAATTCTCCGAGAGAAGACACCGGGCCAGCCAAGTCTAGTACGAAAGCTCCAGCAATGAAACCCTCAGAAATGGGCAGTGCCAAGGTGAATGATACTGATGGCAGTGGCAAAATCAAGTGTCACAATGGCACTGCAACTTGCAATGAGGGGTCCAGTACTGACAATGATGGAGGATTTGGCACATTCAAAGCAATTACAGATAACAGTGGCATGCTGTTTCGAGCCATGTATGTTTTGTTGGGAGTCACAGGGATAGTGGTGGTGTATTTTGTCGTAAGAGCTTTGAGGTAAGTAGTGAAGAAATTTTTGTTTTTTATATATATATATATATTCAATGATTCAATGTTAATTTTTACTATATAATTTTAATTTTAGTTTGGAGACGATTGCAAATTATTTTAATTCATGATTGACCTGTGCCTGTACTTTCAATGATGAAAAATTATTTTGATCTAAAGTGTATTTTGACTTACAGTTTTGGAACACAAGGAACTTCAGGGACAAATCTAGAGTTTCATAGTTCATGGAAGTCTGTGAGGGAGTCTTTTTAATTACTTTAATTTGCTTAGTCGGAATGTTGCTTTAAGATCTCTGTCCTATCTCTGTGACCTAATTGATTGTGTCCCTCTGAGCTGGTTTTGGAAGCCTTGGATTACGAACAATTATTATGCAGTGGTTTATGCTGTGTTATCGTTACTGGACACTGTTGTATTTTAGTGCTGTTGAAAATTATAATCTTGTGAATCTCTATTAGTACAATGAGTTTAATTGTGTCAAAATCAAATCAAATTTTATTTTACATTTTATAGTGATGTTATAATGTTAAAATGTTTAGTCACAGACTTATTTGTACAATTATTGATCACACACTTGCCATTTTCTGAAAATGTTTGGTTTTTGAGCTAATTTCTCCTCTTTAAAAAAAAATTAAAATGAAATGTCTTTACATGATGTATAATAATTCATTATATTGGAGTAGTTGTCCTTTTTGTGTCTGCTGTGCTGAACAAATTGCACAGAGATAACTTTCACTTCACCAGTACTTGTGAGGGATTAGAATTGTCTTTAGCCTGATTTGATACAGTTCATACACTCACTTTAAAAGTATGAATTGATTTAGCTGATGTTCTATTTCTTGTTGCAGTCTGGCTTTTAGTGTAGGTAAGAACATTTTTTTTGGGGTGCGTCACAGGGAATTATTTCATGGTGTCAAGACTTATATGTCATTCATAACTTAATTTTTGTTTGTACTCATTTACAGACTGAGGAGAAAAAGATCCAAATCTCGGAAATATGGAATCATAACCCAGCACGATGATGGAGGTGGGATGGAGATGGAACCTTTAGGTGATGGAGATGAGGACGATGATGACTACACAGTTTTTGAAATGAATGGAAGAAAGAAGTAGGTACCAGATGTGTATATTACTTGCGTGTATGTGTGACATTATATAGATATTATATGTGTGTGTGTCTGGTGAAAGGTACCAAATGACACATCTTGAAGAATCCTGGGTTTTTTCTCATTTACATGTATGAAGATAATTTTTGAACAATATCCTTTTTTAATTTTTACGATATTTTTTGTAGTTTTTGGGATATGGGTGATTTTGTAAGACAGGGTACGGAAGCAAAATTTTGAGAAAAGTGGCATTAAAGTTTTCCCATTGTTTCTGCTTCAAATAGATATGCTTTGAGATGACCTGACAACAACACATTCACTACTCACAAACCAACTTTAAAAAGCAGCTACGATAAAAGAACAGCTTCAAAGTGTTTATGTATTACGTCTTCAAAACAAGGTTACCACCACCTAGAACAAGAATTTTCAAGAAATAGGTTTGCGCATGGCAGAAATGGATCTAGGCGATACAAGTTTGCTCTCCAAAGAAACAAAAGGGTGTGGATGCACAAAGCTTCACTTTCTTTACATGTTCTAGATATTCATGCGCTCTGCCAGCCATTAGAAAGGGGAGAGAATATCCTAAATTTTGGTATGCATTGTGATTGGGTCGACAAGAGAAACCATCTGCAGTGATTGCTCTGAAATACCAATTTTCTCACTACTGATTATGCAATATACAGACCTGCCACTCATCCCGATTTAGTCGGGATATCCCGATTTTTTGCCCCAAATCTCAATCCTCCCGATTTTGATCGCGTGTATCCCGATTTTTTGTCCCAGTCTGCTGTTGTGCCGGATCTTTCTAAAAACTTGCTCTGCCTTCTCCTTTATCGCGGGAAGCACCCGTCGAACTTTTTGTCAGTAGGAACTCGGAGCACTATTTCCAGAAATATCGATGCCGCATTTAGTACTATTTTAAGTAGTTGACTCGCCCCAAGTTCTGTGTGATCTTTGCCCGCACCCAGAATTCTCCGATGATAGCCTGGTAACTGTTACAATTTGGGACATTTAATAATCGATAATATTCGTAGTCCCGCTGTTACTTTCAAAACAAGCCTTGTCCGAGGTCTGGTAACTGCGCGTTCACATCAAACACTCGGACGAGCGACAGTCTTTCTAACCCTTACACAACTACATGTAACTGCGCTGACAAGACTAACATACGGCCGTTGTCGTTGCTTTAGTCTGAACACATGGGGGATAAGAGATATGTTGGAATATTTGGTCGGTCGGCCGGCGTCGTTATCCTAGAAGTAGAACGACTGTCGCTCATCCGAGTGTTTTGTGTGAACGTGCAGTTAGTCGCACCCGTTAGTAAATAAATTGTTTCAATCGCGCATTCGCGTCACGTGACATATCATCGCCGTGTGAGTTCTGCGTGTCGGGGACCGTCCGTTGACGGGGTCAACTTAAGTTCATGTATTTCGGGACTTATTGGTAGGGGGGGGGGGTATAGACCCTTGGACTAGGAGTGCTTGACGCAATGCTTCAGGATTTTAAAAAAATAATGATAACTCGCACGTACGCATGCACGCGCGCGCGCACGCACACTCACGCACACACACACACACACACACACACACACACACACACACACACACAAACACGCACGCAAACAAACAAAGACACACAGAGGGCATAAAGGCCAAGGAATTTATGGACACCCCTGGAAAAATTTTAAGTCGGCTTTGGAGTCACCTTGGTGATTTGCTGTTGATCCCGATTTTTTTCACCAAATCCCGATTTTTTCTCCCTGGGATCCCGATTTTGAGGTTTCATAGAGTGGCAGGTCTGAATATACCTTGTGTTCAAAAACATCTTTAAAAATGTATTTTAAAATAAAAGAAACTCCAATCTTTTTTATTAATGCCTAAACAATCCATTTTTAACGGAACTTAGTTTTTGTCAAGACCTTTGAAGCCTGATATCTCGGTTCGAACAAATGCGTCTTTTGGTACCTTTCACCAGGCACGCTCACAAATGTGTGTGGGGAAAAGGGGTGGTATTGTGGAAAAGAATTATAGTTGATTAACAAAGAAAGTGAGGAAGTGATATACCGGTAGTGAGAAAAAAGTGAGGAAGTGGTATAGTGGGAAATAAAAAATTAGGAGTGGGGTCTGCAGTATTATATTATTGATTAGGTAAAGGTTGGCATGAGTTTATAAGACAGTGGGTTTCATTTATGCAATTGGTTGTTTATGACATGGTGTCAACAGGGTGCTCACCAGACTCAACTTTACCTCTGTCTGTCAAGGATGAGGTGAGAGTTGGGTGTGGGCATGTGCTTGGAGATTTTTTTAACCTGCTACAGGCTAGCTAACATCCTGCCTAAGAGGATATCTAGTATCATCTGCTTTGCTTCAATAATGAAAAGGAGAGTGTAAGCCTTTTAAATTCCATAAAGGCCCCCTGGGAATAGAGCTAGAAGTACATGATAAAAGTTATGTTCATAAAAATTAATTTGAAAGTCAGATTTGTTTGAACCCACTGCACCATTCTGTAGTTTTTTGCTCTCCTATTAGTGCTTCTCCAGGTTTTGCTAGCTTGTTTTGAGGAGCAGTTTGTTATGGACAGAGACATGTTAAAGGTTAAGGTTTATGTAAAATAAGAATCTAAATAGTTGTCCTCCTTCCTAGAATGTCCTCGGTGAAGACTGAAAGGCTTTACCTTTAAAGTGTTGTATGTGTAAGTCTATTAAGATTTTAAACTTCAATATAAAGAAAATGAACGGTTTAACAATGAGTATTTATGAGCGCAAGGGTTACATGGAGCAAACAAACTCAACAACAATGACAACATGGGGTCTAGGAATGCCATACATGACAGTGACAGACCCAGAAGAGCCACATGACCAGACCCCTGTGGAGACAAGATCTTTCTGGCAATGGCTACTTGCGAGGCGCTTCAACAGACTACTTTAATATTTGTGAACTTGTCTGGCATCTTCATATGAAGAACAAGGAAGAAGTTGATGATTGGATTGCCTATCGAATAGGTCTGGTAGTTGTCAAGTCTTCAGTGGTGAATGGTTTGAAATCCTTGCCTTTTGTTCTATTGCTTTTCAAACATCTCTCCCCTCCCCACCTTTCCACTCCCTTCTAATGCTTGATTAATTGAACTAGCACGTTGTGAAGTTTGATTGTCATTTCAGCAAGATGGTTGGATAACATAATATGATACTGAGATTTCTCTTTAAATTTCTTTTTCGTACAGGTAATCTACACAACATGCTGGATTTGAGTGCCATAAGTGCGTGTTTGAAAGGTCATAAAGATTTGCACCTCCACATTTCTTGGTTTATTTTTGATCAAAGGTTTGAAGTTTTTGATGGAGAATTGTAAGTTGGTGCAGAAGGCAATAACAGATTACTGGTGTATTCAAATTAGATTTCACTTATGCGATAAGATTTGAGTTGCTATGTTGTCGTGATTCCTGTAAGCAAAGAAATGCATGATGTGGATGCTAAGCATAAAGGTTGTGAACATTTTCCAAAGTAAAAGATAAGCTATTGGATTCCATATGAGCTTTTGCCAATAAGTGGGTACCTAGAATGTAGCACAAATGGTTGATGATAAAGTTTTTAATATTTCGTTTTTACATGAATTTTTCTATTCATGTATATCTCCTCCTACAAAAACATGTATTTACAGACCTACAGACGACATGCTAAGCTGTGTAACTGGCTTTACATAACATCAAGTCAAATTCATTTGGACATAACTATGATAACATATTTTTTAGAATTTGAACATACAAAATTATTTTAACTGTTTTCTTATTGCTTTAATTTTTAAAAATATGCATGAAGAGCATATAGAATGGTGAGGATCCCAGAAAAAAGAAAGAAACTCTGAATGCCATTGTGATGCATTTGTGTCATCATAGTTATGTCCGAAAGAAATGAAAAACTTTCGGTTTTCATATCTTAATTTCTTTTATGAAAATTTGGGCAAACAACGATTCAGAAGATTCAATTTCACTCACAATGCATGTTAATGATGAAAAAATGCCACTTTATTCACATTTTACTCTGAATCTGTGCCATATATCAAATGAAAGTGGCTATTCTCACCTGCCCGGAAGTTCTCGCAAGATCAACTCCTCCCCTCTTCTCTCTCTCTCTGTCTCTTTCTGAATACTGTCTATCGGTGTGGACGATCAAATTGACCAAAACAAAGTTAAAAAATGATGTTAAAACACAAAAGTAAATTAATTTGGTTGTCTACAAAGACAAAGATACTACGGCTATTTAACTTTTCGAATCGAGCCGAACTACGCGGGTCGCCATTTTGTTTTGCCCGGAAATGCTCGCGCTACTCCTCTCTCTCTTTCTCTCTCTCTCTCCACTGCCCACAGACAAAATTGTACGCTTTTAGTAGGCTACAGTTGTAATGGAACGTTTGTTCACGGCACAGAATTCTACAATTTTTCTGTTATCACAGTGTAGAATTCTGTGGTTTAGGGTGAACGCAAAATTTGGTGAACGCACACCGGGTGAGAATAGCCACAAGACTCGCCTGCACTATTCTCACTCCGGGTGAGAATAGAGGTGGCCATATCAAATATCTTTCGAACATAACTATGATAACACAAAATGAAGAATACCCTGAAAAGTAACTTATGGAACATAAAATTATTGTAATAGTTTGCTCATTGCTTTAATTTTCAAGCATAAGCATGAAGAGCATATAAAATCACAGAAAAAAGAAATTCTGAAAGTCTGTGTGTTCGCATTTGTGTCATCATAGTTATGTCCGAAAGAAAGAAAAAACTTTCCCTTTTTCAAATTTCAATTCATTTGTTGAAAATTTTGGCAAACAAAGATTCAGAAGATTCAGTTTGACTCATAATGCATGCTAATGATGAAAAAGTGCCACTTAATTCACATTTTACTATGACTCTATGCAAAATAGCAAATATCTTTCTAACATAACAACGATGACACATAATGGATAAACGTTTGTCGTCATTTTGGAACTGACATCAAACTTTCCCCTCTCGTTGACATCTAGCCAAGCACGCGTGGTCTCATCTAGTTCAACCACTATTTGACCATTGTAACGCAGTGCAGTGTTAAAATCATTACTTGGTTTAAATTTAATTAAATGGGTGGAAACCGTTTTCGGTCGTAGCAGCTTTTTTTTAAGATAACATGTTAAGATTTGATGATGACATAAGAAAACGTATATGAATTCGTCTCATTAATAGTTATTCTTCTCGTCGTCTTGCATCGCACAACAACACGCTTTGAATAGGTCGACAGTAACAAGGCACGTTCATCCACCACTATTATTTCTCGTTTTCTGATTGGTTCTTTCGAGCATAACAAATGATAACAGCACGAGGCGTCGCGGGATTTCCGTTTACTGCAAAATTACGTACGGTCACAGCCTCGGAATCAGTTGGGGCTGAGAGTAAACATGGAATGATATTATGCTCGTTCCAGGGACCCAAAATGGAGGATAGAAACAAAGTCACAGGGAAATGAAGTTGCTTTGCGAAGTGTCTGCACTAGTTATGCTCGAAAATGAAAATCTAGAAGGCTCACAAACAAAAAACAGCTACAGATATCATTATTCCTGATATAGCACCACAATTAAAGTAGTTATCGTAGTAAAAGTTTAGAAGGACGAGTTTCTCAGCAATTATTTCATTGTTGAGCTTGACAACAGAAAAGGTTCGAACTCGGGGCGTCACGTTTTGAATTCTAAAAATTAATCGATTTCAGAACTAAAAATATTTGTAAGATTTGTTCTGAAGGCCCGACTGCCATTTCTCTACTCCCATAGCTGAAACATCATATTAAGCACAACGCTAACAAATTTCAAAGCTGTAGCACCATTTTTATTGTAATAGGAAAGAATTTTGTAAGGTATATGATGAAACCCCCACCTATTGGCAAAGGCTCATATATTACTCAGCGAGGCATGCTGTATGGGAACAAGATCACTCAATAATGATACATTTCTCACACTTTGTGTGGTTGTAGGGGTACGGACCAGTATCCTGTGATCTTTCCTTTCATGTTAATTTTTTGTTGTTGTTGATATTTGATATTTTCTTTTTTTTGTGTGTTTAACTTTGAATTAAAAGCATTCCTTTTCTTATGCCTGCACATGACCCCTGAACTTTTTAAGTATGATGAATAATCTGAATGTTGGCCTTTTTTGCTGTGGCTGTATGTTGCGCGAATATCCAGTCATGTCGTTTGTGTACTAGGATTCGATTGACTGTGTGTACACATGTCTGTTTTGATTTTGTCTTTAAAGAGCATGGTAAAAGCTCTATGTAATTTTGATTTTGTATTCTTTAACTCACTTGAGCCTGAACTATTTTCACCCAACATCAACAACCATTGCAGCCTGACAGTCTTGGGGTATATAAAATTGAACAGTTAACTACAAAAAGACTGAAAGCTGCCATAAGAAAGAAAATGCAACAAAAGAAAGAAAGAAATGCTCTCACGGGGAAAGAACTGCATTGAATTTGTCTTCATGGTCTATATTATTATCAACATTTTGAAATGGCAATGTTTGGGGGTTAAGCAAATTTTTTTTTGGTACCCAATTTGTTATAAAATTATCTATCGCAATGCGGGGGCTGACTGATTGAAGTCCGTTACAGCTAAAAAATATCGCGCATAACCTCACCAAATTTTTTTACGAAACGAAACAAGTAGGTCAACTGTTGGCTCTGCTCTTCCCGTAGCTTGTTACTGAAAAACCACCAAAATATCGATCGATAAAGGGTATCCCTTAAATACTCGGGATTCGGTCACCAGGCGTCCTGTAAATAAAATACACCGGAATATAAATGTTGGCTTAATGTGAGTTAAAGAGCGTGGAATAGGCTACATCTATTTTCACCATTGTCACACCAAATAGACCTATGTTTGATCAATTTTTCAAAAAGAAACTATTTGATTGAATTGTTTGTTCAGGACAAAGAATTGCAAGGTATATATTTATGAGTGACTGTGTCAGTGGGCTACTCATGGTTTGGAAAGTGATCAGCAGAGCATTACATGATTGTCATTTTATCAAGTGCATAATAAAACCAGAGTTAAAACCACTTTTGATAATATTTGAAAAGGATTTTCTTTCATGTATTAGTGATTTTGTGGTGCATACTATTTTTTCTTTTGCAACATTTGTCATGTGAAGGAGTTGAGACGATGTGATTGTTATTTGAAAGTTTGTCATTAAGTGTCATTCTTTATGTAAAAGGTTTTAGTTACTTACTTCAGGCTTTTTTTTTTTTAAACGAAATCGTTTTGGATTTGGATTGCCTCGACATTTGTTGTTTTCTTTAAAATCTCTACATGATTCTTTCTTGAACTAAAGATAATTTTGTGTGTGTGTGTGTGGCGGGGGGGAAATCATATGAAAGTAGAACATAGTCTTAATTATTTGAAAATGGCATGTCTGGGGATACAACTTTTCCTGTACCTTGTGCCCTTTCAGGAAATGTCTTCTCCACCAAAATGTCTGTGTGGCTTGGTATTGGTTTCATTGCCTTTTTGGACTGGAAAAGTTTGTTGGCCTACTTTGAGATGTCAAAATGAAAGTGCTTTAGTTTCTTTTACTTGCATTGAATGCATTTATGTAGGATTCCACTGTAAAGTATATTGGGACCCAAGCTTCTGTTTAACATTTTTAGTTGCTATTCATCCTAAATGAGACACTTGAATTTGTCATGCTCAATTTATGGTGAAGTTTTTTGGTAATGTATTCTGGCCACAAATTGTACAATATTTTTTGCATCCACCTGTGATTTCCATTAATTTTTTCTTCTTAACGCCTTTCTGTAACTCTAAGGCCTAACAAAATTAACATGTGTTCTTTGTTTTGCCAAGTGAGAATGTCATCATATAAACTGTATGAGTACGGTAATGCTGAGTGATATGTTGTTGTGCTATTTTCAGTCTTTAGAGAAAAAAAATTCTACTTATATTCATTTTAAGTAGTAGAACATGCATTTAAGTTATTCATTCCCTTCTTGACTTTCAGAAAAATAATACTTTGTTTCCACATATTGTCAGCACAACAAAATATGCTGTAACAATAAGCTTTGCTATTGGTTGGTCAAAGTTTTCCATTGACTTGTATAATATAAGTAACGTTGTCTTTTTTTTTTTTTTTTATAGTAGAGGGTTTTACGGCGCTCGCAACTGCATAAGGTCATATGAGCGCCATAACATTGTCTGACAAAGAAACTGCAAATTAGATGCACTTGTAAAATGCTCTTTTTGCAAGGTATTTCTAATCAGATTGAAGTGATTAAAGCAATTTTTTTGCTCAGAAATCCGTAATAAATGTAGTAAGTTTTTATGGAATGGAAGTGCAGGTATGTGGCCATTGCTCATTGACCAAAGTAGTCACCATTTTTGTGTCTTAAAAAGAATTTGAGAGGGTCATTAGACAGAAAAAGTCCCAAATATGTGGGGGGGGAAAAAATCACAGATGCAATGATGGAGCTTTAGCTAGAGTGTTCTGAAGTAAGAGTTACAAAAGTAGATTGAAGATGCTCTGATACTTTATACTTCGTAGTATAAAGTAGAGTGCATTGATCACATCATGTGGCTCTCTATAGAGTTTTATAACTATTGTATGAGGTAGATTTTGTCAGAGCGTTTTTTAGGAACTAAAATGGCTCTATTTTGTAAGATTATAAATAATAAACTTTACTCAAAGTATGCCGTTTAGGGGAAGTATGGTTATATGATAATTCTTTAACTTAACAGAAATTTTCTTTTTTGTCTTATTTTTATGCCTGCTTTCTACTTTGAAAAAGAAGAATGAAGATTGTCAAATTTTCTGATGCCCCGAAAGCAAATGACCAGTGCAATATATTATAGTATTAAAGCTGTTTCATCGTTAATCTTATATAATCTTTTTTTATTCATGCTTAATTTGAGTTGCCAACCTTCCATATAGTATCAAATTTTGCATGTACATTTTCCTGATGATTAAACTCTCTCTGTTGCACAAGTTATAAGTTCTGTTTGATCTATTGATTACCCACTGTGTGTGTACCTATTATCAGCTTTGTGAATACTTATTTTTCTTATTATTGCTCACAGGATAAAGTTTCTTGTATTATATTTGACATCTCAGCAAGAAGACTGAGATTCAGTTACCAGTTTTTCGATTTTTGTGTGCCTTGTTTTGTTTGACATTGTGAGTTATAATCTTTGTGGAAAGTACATAATGTCTTCAGCAGCATATGAGAATGTCCAAGTACAATTTCACTTGGTTTTCTTGCAAAATCTGAGTGCCTAAATCGAAAAATAATTGGCTCCTCGAGTGTTCTCAGGAAACTCATTTGCATTCTCTTGCTGGATAGAATGTGTGTCTGATGCTTTATCCAGATTGTTGAACTGCCAGTGGCTTACTGTTTAAAACATGTGAAGCAGTGGGGGGGCAATTGTTTAGATAAGAATATAACCAGAGTTAGTGTGCATAGTGATGTGTATTCAGTGGACTGTGCTTAAAGTGAAATCCAATGATGTTAATTGTGACCTTTACTTTTACATTTTCTGACCATATTATTAGAAAGTATGTGTGAATCTGTTTTGTGCTATCTTGTTGTGATATTGATATTTTTTCTGTGTCCCCTTGATATTAGTTTAAGCACAGTTCTCTGTATATTGAAGTCTGTTTTTTTTGTTTTTACATAAGGATTTGACTGTTTTTGTTTGACCTTGATGTTTTGGTTGTTGTAGGATCGGTGAGTTGTACTGTTTTCTTTCTTCTATCACGCTTGATATTGTGTTGTGCTTGTGTAAAAGTAATGGATATATTGTATGTGATTTTTGTTTTTTGTTGTGAAATCTAGGTAAAAGGAACTAATCTTGTTGTTTCTCATTGAACAGCATTTTCATTGAAAATTGTTATGTCCACTCAAAATTTGTCCCCCCCCCCTCCTCAAATTTGAACACAGTAATTGCAAAAATTGTTTTATCAGCAGCCTAATTGACTGTTAATTGGACATTAGATTTTGGTTAAAAGAAAATGAAAGTTATTATTTGAATTAGTGTAATGCAAACATCTCAGTATTATTATTCCTGTCAAATCAAATTGACTTGAGTCTGAGGACATTGAAAAGGGCATCAGGTTGTTATCTTTGAAAGGCTATTCTTTTTCACCCTGTTGCCTTCTCACTAGATCTTTTGAAGGGATCCAGTCTTGTTGGCTTCCTTTCTGTATAGATGAATTTAATAGAAAAAGATGTCATAAATGTCAAAGTCACCAGAAGATCTATGAAAGAGATCACATTTTTGTTGTCGAGCTCTGTTGACATTATTGATCTGATAATGCTTTGGAGAGAAAAAGAAAGAAGCTTATTTAAAATCCACATTTTCCTCCTTCGAAGACGATCTGGAATGTAAAATTGAATTGTTAACTTTTAAAACCACTCCATATGGTTTGCACACATTTTAGGTTTGACTCTGCCCAACCTTGTTTTCCTAAGAAGAAGAAAAAGAGTTAAAAATGTTCCAAGAGAAATTTGTACATTACAAAAAGATTACTGCATCTCATCTATTTTGCTGCCGCCTATGTGTGTGCGAGACTGTATACTTTGCAAGTGGGACAAAGTGAGAATATGGTGACCTAGATTATTCTAGTGCTTGTTTCAGTTATTTTATTTTTTCTTTGCAAAAGCAGAACCTGGTTTACTGGGAAATTTTGCTTGTTCAGTTTCTTCATACCTTCCATTATGTGGTACCGTAGCTCTTCTGTGTGTGTCATTGTGTTCTGTTTTTAAATTGTTTACTTTCTTCGCAAAATCACAGACAAGTCTCAACCACTAGAGTTTTTTTTTTCTACCTTTTAAATGTGGTCTTTGTTTACGAACATTGTATTGATTATATTAATATTACTCTTTGGCAGATGCACATAGCCTCCTGAAAAATAGAAGTGAAAATATTTGTATTCTGGATAGACTGATAGTGGACTGACAAGAATGTTATTCTCACATTTATTGTTTGCCTCTGTATGGTGGATATTATTTAATATTTCATGTATACATTTCACCTCTTTTGATTTCTCTTTGCTTCTGTTTTTGACAGTCCTGTTGCACTGTTGTTTCGTTTCCTAACCCCTAATGCATACATGTTTATAATTTTGCTTTGACTTACAAATTGTGGGAACATTGATTTCTTGGCTACAAAAATAAAACTTTGCTCTATTTTGATATTTTGGTTTTGTTAATTTTGTATTTCTGTAGTAGCGTACAATGTGTTCCTGTTGCATTTCATTCTTTGAAGGCTGGTGTGTTTCTCTTTCACCAATGGTATTTGGTTCAACATTTTGGCAGTAAGATTTGTATCCAAGGACAGTTCATTATATTATATCCACACCTCAGGGTTTCTCTGATAATTTATGGAGACAAGTACAAGGGAATAGTGAAAGGGTCAAAAACAGAAAAGGGATTATATCAGCTTTTGGGATATATATCCTCCATTTTATTGTCTGTGAATTTTGGTTTTAATTGCAAAGGATTAAAAAGATCCCATTTGCTAAATTTAATCCATTCAAATTCTCAAACATGAAATTCTGAACAGAGACCTATTTATTTTATCGTTGGTGTCTGTTAGAGAGCTTTAGTCTTAGTCTGGTGTGGTTTTCCCCTTTAATTTTGTTTTAATTACCCATTTAGGGTTCTCTAGATACTGTTCAAACTCTGTATTATGCATTTTATTAAATGGGTTACTTAGAATATATACTAAAAACTTCACACCATCGTGTCGGAGAGGTACCGTATGCAGTTTCTCTTTTTTTATTCTCAGCTACTTGCACAGTGTTTGCTAAAAATGCACAAATCCAAGGTGAACAACACAGTTTGCCAGAAAAAAGCAAACAAAACAAAAAGAACGTGTGTAATTATAATTTTGAAAACAAAAACAACTAGCGTGATAGTGATGAATATTGTCTTTTGACACCATTGACTTGTATATTTGCATAACCTGTAGTTCTAGTCTGTTTTACGCTTGCACACATGCACCCACACCCACACACACACACACTCTCTCTCTCACGCACACGCACACACACACACACTCACACACACACACAGACCCACACATACTCACATACTCTCACACTCACTCAATCACACACATGCACTCACAATAAATACACAGTCTCACACACACTTTACAAAGAATAGTTATGTACCTGCGTATTCAATTGACATTTTAAAGTAGCATAACTTCCAACTTACCAATACCACATTTCTCTAACTTACTAAGTAAAGACTGTTCATATCTTTTTGTCCACATTTGTTTCCAAGAAGTGAAAATATTTTGACTTGTGTCCTCGGTTTATTTGGAAGTACGAATGATTAAAGAAAAATGTTGAATAGTGGTTCTGAAATAGTGCTAGGGTAATTAAAGTAATAGCTGACTGATCAAATCGGTGACATTTTGCATACTTCCTGAGCCCCCCATCACAGTGCAACATGCCGAGCGACCCTCTAGGGCACATACATAGAGGGTCGAGAGCACACGAAGCCCAACTGGAAACGAGCACATGTTCAATAAATGGTTCATTATGAAACGCCATGAAACTTGCTTCCATTTCCTGGAAGTTTGCTACAGAGCAAGGGTCCATTCCGAAATAGCGGAACGTGTCCGAGGCTGTGTTGTGGGCCACAGGACGACCATATCTGTCTGACAGAGTAATGAGGAATCCTGTGTCCAGGACTGGGGCGAACAGTTGGTCTGTGGCTGAGTCGTTGAAGCGGACGGAGGAGTCGGCCCACACCAGGACGTCTGTCTGTGGGAGGTGGGCCTGTTGAGTTAAGAAAACGTAGCGCAACATGAGGTAGATCTACAGACACAGATTCTACTTGTTAAGAGAATGCAAATTATTGCTTTTATTTAACTCTTTCTGTACCAAGCACCGACACATCAGAGCGTTTCTTCACACTGTTTGATTATGTACTGATAACTTGTGACACACAATAAAGAGTTATTTAAGTTTAAGACTGGAAATATTATCGTATAATGTTGAACCTAAACCTTTGAACAAAATTAAACCCTGAGCTGTGAATACTTGTGAATTCTATCAATTTGTGTTTCACGCGCTCATGTGACTTTATGCAGTTGCAAGCGTCGTAAAACTCTTTCTTAACTAAACTAGACATTCTAGCTTGAGTGAGATTATCTCCAAACGTATTTCTTTACTCCCGTGCAGATGGCTCCAGTCCGATACCTATCGCCAGCATCGGTGCTATTTTGAACAAACTGGGCACAAACCTTCTGACTGTATATATTTTCGGTTTATCAATAACCCAAGACTTTCGTCTTTTATTCTGGTGCAAATGGCCTTGAATCGAATTCTTGCCGTGCGATCTTATACTTGGGTCGTTTGATGCATTTTCAAGCCCGTCCATCCATCTATTTTAATATTGACGTTAAAATCATCATCATCATCACCATCATCATCATCATCATCATCATCATCATCATCATCATCATCATCATCATCATCATCATCATCATCATCACCACCCCTCTCATCCTGGGTCAGGATACCATACCATCCAAACGAGTTAACCTAGTACTGGTGGAGATGGGCTTCAGCTCGGAGGGTGCGCCTCTGACACAGCCTCGCACCTTAAAGAGGTTCTATGCATGATATTATTTTTGATATATTACTATTTTTCTTTAACTACTTCAATCCACACCCATTCGTGTTCTTTTTACTTGAAAGAATTACATGACCATCGCCATGCATCAATGGTGGTCTAAAACCGGTGTCTGTTGTGTGGCAGTAGGGCGCACACAAGAGACCCGAGTGGGGAGAATTATCGAGTTTCTGGACCTTTCTTTTTTTTGGCGGTAAGTTTAACAGCCCTCGCAACTACATAAGGTAATATGAGCGCGCGGGACACACCAAACTTTTTCAATTGGTAGGAAATTTAAATTTTGCCCGGGTGGCGGCCGAAGCCTACTCTTTTAGATTTTGGACCACCAAGGGGTCTTTAATGTGCTCAACTTGCATACGGGACCTCCGAGATTTTTCGCCTTTGTCCGAGAAGGCTAGGTGTAGATCTTTCCTACCAGAAGATCAGGGGTGTGGCTGACAGACAGCTGTAAGAAAGGACCAAGGAGTAGCTGTTGAAAGGCTGCAGAAAGAGTCAGGAGCCCAGTGGATGGGGCAAAGAGGGTGACGGGGAGGGGGAAGAAAGTGGAGACGAAAGCAGACGACAGAATATTGCAAGAGAAAAGGAAAGAAGCTGAACGGATACAATTTTAGAGAAGAAAAATTGTCCGTTGCCACTCGGATTCGAACCCAGGACCTTTGCTGACATGACTCAGATTTCGGGTGTAATAATGAGAGTGGCGTCGGTAGTGGTTAGGTTACTGGACCAGTAATCGTGAGATTGCAGGTTCTGGGGTTCGGGCCTCAGCTCGGTTCGACATTGTGTCCATGGGGAAAGACACTTTGCCCACATTTCCTATTTGAATTTGCCTCGGTCCTTTCGAAGATGGGCGTTAAACTCGGAGATTCCGCCTCTTGAATAAACTAGTAGTGTTGATAGGGACGTTAAACCTATACCATTTCAGCATTTTTTTCTCCGAATATGTGGAATAGGAGACCTCAAACCTGAACGATAAGGGGTTTCCACGTGTAGCAGTGAATGTCGCTTCTATTTGTCTCCATCGCAGAGAAGGGAAATTCGATGACTGTGCATCTGCAATGTTTCTGCATCTGAAACCATGTTTTAAAATACATAAATTATGCACTCAAACGCGCGCGCGCTCACACACACAGACACACACAGACAGACAGACAGACACACACACACACA